GGGGGGGGGGGGGGGGCATGCTCAGAAGGGCCTCACCTGGCTGCCGCCTGCCTGGGGACCCTGGAGTGTTTGCCTCGGGCCCAGCTGGCTCCTGCCTGGAACCCGAGGCCCCTTATCTCTGAGGCAATGGGGGCCCGACCTGGTCGTGTCAAATAGGCGGAAAATTAAATTTCATGCTATTTTGACTTCTGGAGTAGCCTCCTTCAGAGCACATCCGGCCTCCTAACCTGCCAGTAACAGGGCCCAGCCATGGGGTGGTGAGGAGGGATCACCACAGCACCCCACCTGGCCCCAGTTTCCCTGGATGCTGTGGAGCAGCCCACACTCCTAGCAGCTCTTTGTGTCTCAGAGAAGAACTGCACTCCATGGGGCTTTTGGTGGTCAGTCTCTCAATTGGAAATAGCTGGTCTCCTCTCTGAGGTCTTCTGGGTGGACTCAAACCTCTGTCCTCTTAGGTAGTTGTTAAGAATGAGTGTGAGCTGATTGTGCCACCCAGCGACTGTTAGGGAACAGATGCTGTAGAGTTGGTTCCAGTGGATGGTGACCCTCTACCCCCACTGTCTGTGTGTGTCATGTAGAACTGCTACTTAGCGTTGTCAGCATTAGTTCTGGGGAAATAGGTTGCCAGCCCTTTCTTCTTAGGGAGCTCTAGGGGGACTCACATTTCTACCCTTTCATTTAGCAGTCTAGGGGGCTTTCTGAAATCATGACCCAGTGTCTCAAAAAAAAAAAAAAAAACCAAACAAACACCAGTTGGCATGGAGTCTGGTCCAGATCATGACAACTCTGCCTTTGTCAGAGTAGAACTGCTTTCAGGGACTAATGTTTTGGGGAAGTAGATGGCCAGGCCTTTCTTACAAGGTGCTTCTGAGTGAGTGCCAGCCTCCAGTCACTAAAAAACAGTTGCTTTGGAACTGGTCCTGAGTTATGGCAGCCCCACATGTAATAAACAGAACTGTGTTCCATAGAATTTTCAGTGACTGATCTTTTTCTTTTTCACCAAAAGATTGCCAGGCCTTTCTTCTGAGGGACTTTCAGGTGGTCTCAAACCTCTATCCTTTAATTGAAAATCTGAGGGAATTTGAACCCCTATCCTTCCAACAATCAAGGGCTTTTGTTAGTTACATTGGCCAGTGGCTACTAAAAATGAGTTGTTGTAAATGCAGCTCCAACTAATGGCCACTGTGTCACAGCAGAACTGTGTTTCATATGGTTTTCAGTGGCTAATTTTTTGGGAAGTAGATTTCCAGGCCTTTCTTACAAGGTGCCCATGAGTGTACTTTAAGCTCTATCCTCTCAGCAGCTGACTGCACCATGTAAGGATGGCCCCAGGCTGGCTCCCACCTCCCAGGAGGGCTGACACAGATGCTCAGTGCTTGAGTATGGACTCCTGACTCAGGGTGGGGAGACAGGAGATTGAAAAATCACACCTGGAGGCCAGGCTGGTGAAATACTGTTAGTGGTCCGTGAGCTGTGGGCACCACATAATAATGTGTCCTGGTGTTGTACCTGGGAGAGGAGGCTTTTTCAGGATGCAGAGGAAATTATAGGTGGGGATGGCCACACTGAGGACCCAGGACAGCCTTGTCTTGCCTCAGGCATGACCAGTAGTGATGGTCTTTTTGGCGTAAGAGCATCTTACTAATGCACCCTGTACAATCCTTGTCCCCTAGGGACTGACCTCAAGCTTGACCAGTGGTCTCCTCAGAGACTCTAGCCCTATGTGCATACCAAGGTCTTGGCCATAGATGTTCCTGCCCCAGCCAGGCCACTTCCTTCTAAGAGCAGCACCCCAAACACACTTAGCCAAGACCAGGGAGAGGAGGCTCCAATGGTTGGGAGTCAGTCTTGCCAGTGGCCACTTGAAGGCAGTAGCCTCTGTCACCTAGCTGAGGAAGGACTCGGGGAGGGAGGGCTGGGGACTGGACTTTGGCTAACTCTGAGGTCCCAGAGAGAGGTGGAGCTTCCTCCTTGTGACTCCCATGGGCATTGACAAGTGAACTGCAATTGAA